GGGGGGGGGGGGGGGGGGGGGGGGGGGGTGGGGGGGGGGGGGGGGGGGGGGGGGGGGGGGGGGGGGGGGGGGGGGGGCGCGGGGGGGGGGGGGGGGGGGGGGGGGGGGGGGGGGGGGGGGGGGGGGGGGTGATTAGTATCAACTTAGATTTTTTTTACGTCATTCTTCTAATTCTTCTTCGGCCATCCTTTTTTCCTCGTAGCAGTCTCCGCAAACAATCATGCTTTCTTGTCCCGTATCCATATCATTTACCTCATAATACAATCCAACTTGAATCAGTTACCAAATTACCACAATCTTCGCAAGTAATTCCATGTCCTTCCGGTAATTGATTTGCGTAATGTTTATTTAGTCCTCGGTATTTTGCCATATCAATTACATTTTTATAGCAAAAAAAAAAAAAAAAACATCAATCTTGCCCTAAAAATCTCCTTTAATTTCCTACTTTTTTCTCCTTGATTTCTTTCAAATAATCTTCTACCAACTTGTAATTTTCTTGATAATCTTGTTCGGTTTTAATATTAACTTGCTTTTCAAAACCTTCTGTCGCTTCAAGTTTTGGACAGTTATCTAAATACTCAGTTTTTTTATTTTTTTTAAAGAAAAGACGAAAGCTCTTTTTTTGGACACAAATGAGTAGTAAAACATCCTTTTTTTCTCATCCATATCTGATATTGTTGATCCGATGACCGATTTTTATTAAATTTGGGTAGTTGGGGAAAAGTTGAGAAATTAGACTGTTGATTAATAATATTCTAACTTTTGTTTCATCATTTGCCCCTTTTTCTGCTAAAAATTTTTCTAAATCAACTTTTTTTCCATCAGTTAACAATTGGGTTTCTTTTTTTGTCTTAATTACACGCACGCTCGGTTGCTTGTTGTCATCATTTTTTTGGGGTTCTTTGTTTATTGTGGATTTTTCTGGTTTAGGAATAGGGACAATTATGCTTTCTGTTGGCATTCCTAGTAAATATTTTCATTCATCTCTCCTTTTTTTTAATAACGGCGAGGTTTCTAAGGAAATCAAAAGGAGATGATTTTCATCATTTCCATATCTTTGAACTTCTACCAAAATGATATTCTTATCTCTACTCTCTTCTATGTCATGCATTTCATAATAACCAAAAGGAGCCACACAAATAAGAATATTTTTGTCACAAAATTTTTTTCAAGCACCGTTTTTTGTTGTTGTAAATTCTAAATCAATCTTTCTTTTTCTTTTTTTATTTAAGTAGTCATTATATTCTCGTTGGATTTCAAGGCAATTGCTTTGGTCGTTGATTAGAAATGAATTATATTTTTTTACTTGGTTTAGCGGGTTTTGAGTTTGGTCGTGCCACTTATATTCTATTAATGCTAATCTTTCTAATTTAATTTTATTCTTTTTGTGATAAAAAGCTAAAGCATCAACTCTTCTTTCTCCCCTAACCGAACTTTTATGAAAAGATATTGGTCAATCCTCGCCTTTTAACAATTCTAGGTTAGGAAAAATGATTGATAAGTTGTTGGAAAAAATTTGATTTAATATTCTCTCTAGTTTAAAATCTTTCAATTGGAGGATTTTCGCAGTATTCTGTTTCATTGCCTATTTCTTTTATTGTTTTATTGTTGAAGAGAAAATATGAGGGGAGAATTAGTTTTATCTAATAAATAATTTACTTATTAGATGAGGGGAGTTTATGACTCCCCTTTTCGTTTAATCTCCGTAATTCTTTTTTTAATGCTTTACTCAGCGAAATTTTTTCCTATTTTTAACGACAAGGTAAGTAAGGAACTAATTAATAAAAAACAAGTAGTTATCAAAATTAATGGTAACCAATTATTACCCTTATTCGTATTGAGAGTGTTGACTGATTGGTAATTGGCAATTAAATAGTTATCAACAGGAATTTCAACAGCATTAATCGATGAACTTGGTAAAGTTTCTCTTACATTTACATATGTTGATATCCTTTGAGTATTAATAATTTTGCTAGTGTACATAAAGTCGGGATGCTTTGGTGAAATAATTGGTAAGCCTTTGGCTATTTTATCAGCCTCTAAAAATTGTCTTTTTATTTCATTATCCTCATTTGATTGCATAATTTCGTATCAGTCACTAAGTTTTAGAACAATATCTCTGGTAGTGGGTCGTTTTTGTGGATCAGAATCCATACATTGATTCGCCAGTTCAATATAGCAGTTGGGAGTTCCAGGTGCAAACTCTGGTCGTAATCCTTTGCAAATCTTAATTGCAAGATTTGTATCAAAATTATGTCCTTCAAAAGGTCTTTGTCCAGTTGTCATTTCAGTCATAACAATTCCTAATCCGTAAATATCTGCTGCTTGTGTAAACTGCTGCTTACCTAATAAAACTTCAGGTGCAACATAGGGCATGACACCATAAATATCACCTTCTGCATTGATTTCATCTTTCTTTTTGGATAATCCAAAATCAGTAATATAACACTCCACATCATCAACTAATATATTGCCAGAATGAAAATCGCAATGAATCAATTCTTTTTTATGAATCGCATCTAGCCCAAAGGCAATAGTATACAAGTGGTATAGCTTGTCTTCGGAAGTCAAATTAGTAAAATTTTTTGTCAAATATTTGTAAAGACTTCCACCACCGGCATATTGAAATATCATGAGATATTCGTTTGTTTCTGAGTTTTGAGTTAATCCATATATTTCAAGAACACCATCCTGTAGTCTTAGTTCTACACCAATTTTAAATTCTTTTAAAAAATCGCTATTTTCCTCAGAACCAGATAAAGTCTTGAGTGCGACAATACTCGATGGTTCCCGTGTTCTGACATTATTATCAGTTTTTCGTATACCATCCAACCAGGTTGCTGAATATACTGAACCAAAACCTCCTTCTCCAATTTTTTTAATATCACCCAGTCGATCAAAAGGTATTCATTCTAGTATTTCATTATAACTGCTTGCTTTTAATTGACATTCTTGGATAAATTGATCAATTTGCTGATTACCACTGGTTCAGTTAGCAAAATTTTCTTTTAACCAAGGGATATTTAACAATCGTCAATTTTGCTTGTCTTTTAAATTAAGTTTGATTTCTAATTCCCTGTTATCGCTTTGTAATTGACGATGATATTCGCTTTTTAACTGTTCAATGTTAACGGATAATATTTTTTCGGCTGTTAATTGCTTATTATCTCTTAATCAAGCATAAAATCCAGCATCATCGGGATTAAAGCCATTTCCTAAAGACCTAGCCCACTCTTGAGTCTGCTGGTAATTAAACCCTTGGCCTTTTCACTCTAAAATCAATTTTTTATTAGCAAATTTTTCACTAATTTCTTTTCAATCATTTTTATCATCTCCAATGACACTACTAATAAATATTGTATCACTACCCAATACTTTTTCAATGTCCCCATAATTATTAAAAATGTGTGCAAATACTTTCTGGCGAATAATATTTTCCTTTTCTTCAATTTCTTCTTTTAATTCTTTTCTTGTATCTTCCAGATTTTTAATTTCCTTTTCTATGTTATTATTATCCCTTTCGTTCTTAGAATTTGAGTCCTGATTATCATTTATCTGTTCTTTTTCTTGTTTAGCAGTTACTTCGTTTTTTTTACTAATGTTTTCTGTAGAATCTTCAACGTTTTTGACTCTAGAATCGTTAATTCTCTTGTTCCTCAGTTTCCTAATCTTTTTCTTTGATATACTCTTCAAATCCTCTTCTAACTTTTTTTTGCCTTCCATGAACTTAATAATTTCTGCACCTAATTCTTGTAATTTAGGAGGTTTATAAGAATTTGTTTGACAATTTTCACTTAAGTGATCTAATAAGTGATTTATTTCTTGCTTTTTTGTTTAATTCTATTTCTTTTTCTCTTTTGATTCTATCCTCTTTGCTTTCTTCATCAGCGGTAGTGCCAATGGGAGCAATAACTATCGGAGGATTATTTACATGAATAACTCTTTTTTCACAAGACTTAATTATTTCGGCTAATTCCCCGCCTACTTTAATCATCGACTCAATATCTTCTTCACGCTTCTTGGTTTTTTTAAAATCTTTAAAACGAGTGCGAATTATTGTAGTATTTTGGTAATCTCTTGATCAAAAATAACCGCTCTTAGCAAATTATAAGTAGCCATTTCATGTTGGGCAAATCTACCATCAGTAACAAAGAATACTCGACTTACTCCATCTCTAACTAAATAAACCGCTTCGGCAATGGTGTCTAATGTTTTTTCGGTAGGTAATTTGGTATCTCCTATTCCTGGATTATCAATAATAAGATAATCAAAATTGTCATTTTTAAATTCCTTAGTCTGAATTTCCTTTGTCTCGCTTACTCCCAACTTGCCCTCTTTGAAATCATCGGTATTAGTAATTACATTGGCCAAGGTTGATTTACCTCGGCCTGTTCTCCCAATCAGGAGAATAGTTTTAGTTTCTGTCATGATTATTTTTGTGTATTTTGTTCTATTACCGCAGTAAGGTTACTAATTGCTGGTAACTCTTTTTCCAGTTTAAGTTTTATTTCGGTAATTGCTTTGTTTTTTACTTCTTCCAACTCTTCTTGCTTTGTTAGGCTATCACTCTGATTTATTTCTTCTTCTTTTTTAAGGTAATTGGTTACTATGGAATATATATTGTCTCATTCTCCTAATTTATAAACGCCATGACAATTTTCGGCTAGATGGTTTAGGACTTTTTTTCGTGACTCTTTTCTCCTTTCCTCGCTTATGCTAATTTCTTCTTCATTGTCACTATCATCCTCATCTACTTCAGGCACTGCCGGATTATCAACATGTATAATACCATTACATGACTCAATTATCTCTCTGATTACAGCACTTTCGTTAAGAAGTGCTTTTTGATCTTTTTTACATTCCTGTGAATTTCTGAAATCTTCAAAATGAGAGTGAACCAAAGTGGTAAATTTAGTAATGCCACTTTCTAAAATAAGTTTTTCAAATAACTTAAAGTTTTTTATCTGTTCCGGGGAAAATTTACCTCTGAAAACAAAAAAAACTTGATCTATTCCTTCTTTGGCCGCGTAAATACTTTTACCTATTTCATATAAGATAACTTCTTCGGACAGTCTACTCCTATTATCATCAAAACCAATGTTATCAATTACATAATAATTTGTTTCTTTTCACTTAAAATTGCTTATTTTACAACTTCTAGTTTCACTAGTGCCGCCTGCACTTTCTTTACAAATTTCCTCACCAGCCAAAACATTAGCCAAAGTAGACTTGCCATGACCAGTTATTCCTATTATTAATACATTTCGTGGGTTTACCATATTTTCGTTTTCTGTAATATTATTTAGTTCTAATGCTTCTTGCTGATTTTCCTCATTATTATTCACTAATGCGGACTCTGATCCTATTTCTTGCACGCTTTTATCTTTTTTTCTGATGCCTAAACAGCACAGACATTCATTTATTTTTTCTTGTAAGTTTACCATATTATTTTTTGTTAATTATTAGTTATTTGGTTAATATTTAGTTAACTTTTACAATTACTACACAGAACTTAATCCAAATTATAGCAAATCAGGCAGTAATTGATTTTAAATTTATTCTAATTTGCTATTTCTTATCGTTCTGACCATAGGCAATTTAATATTTACTTTTTTTTATTTGGTTAAAATTGTTTAGTTTTCTTTCTTCGGTTCGGGCAAATTGCTCCGACTCAGCAGCACTCAACCCAAAATTAATAAACTACTAATTGCTACTACCCCCAAACAAACATTTAACCTATCAGAACTGGCATTTTCATCTTTTAATCTACCAAATTCACTCTTGATTATTTCATTTCTCGTTGTTTCTACTTCGTTAGCAGTGGAAGCAGTTTGGATTTTTTGTCTTTGCTCATTAGAAAGTGTAATGCCTCAATTTTTTGCTCCCTCAACTAAAACGCCCTTAGAAATTGTATTTCTATTTTCTTTATTCTCATTTTTTAATCGGTCATTTTCACTTTGTAAATTATTTACTTGGGTTTGTAAACTATCTCGTTGGGATTTAATAGCATCATAATCGGTATTGGTTGGCCTTCCTTTTAATTCTTTTATTTTATCAATAATTTGCTGCTGAGTAGCATCATTTTTTAAACCTAATTCAGTTTTTATGGCCTCTAATTGCTGTTTTAATTGGTCGCGTTCATTCTTAATAGTATCATAATCTTTTTGGGCGTCTAATTTAGCATTGGCGGCATCCCGTTCTTGCTCGGCTTGATCCAATTTAGTTTGTAATTGGGGACTGGCCCCAGCTACTATTTTATCTTTTAAATCGGACAAAATGGCTGCCACGCTGTCATTTGGACCCATGCCCAATACTTCCCTCACTACTCGTACCACATCTTTGTAATAATCTAATTTCTCAGGAACAATGTGTCTAGTTAGTCCACTTTCAATCACGGCTCCACCAAGGTCACCTAACCTATCTATTCCTCAAATATCCTTTAAATCGGTATTTCCCGGAGCAAAAAATTCCTTCAATTTTGGGCAATATTCAAGCGAAATCTCTTTTAGATCTTTATTTCCTCCAATTGTTAAATTTTTTAGTTTGTCGGTTGGGGCTGGACCGCCATCATCACCACCGTTATCAGTTTTTATTTTAGTAATATCTAATTTAGTAAGTTTATTGCTTCTAACATCAATTTCTTCCAATTCTGGGCAGTTAACAATAGTCAATTCTGTTAAATCATTATCTAAATTATCAGGAGCGCCACTCATCCTATCATTTATTTCAATTTTTTTCAATTTGGTAAAGCCTACAAGTTTTAACGGTCCTGTCAACCCACCTGGCGTTGTGATTCCTTTATCTATTAAGTCTTGATTCGTTATTTGCGTTATTGTCTTATCAGTAAAATTCGTATCTATAAATGTTTGTGCGTTTACCATATTATTTGCTATCTATTTAAATTTTGAAACATCTACAATCTCATTTTTTCAACTATCATTGCCTGTATACTTCGCGGATTCATCTCCATATTTTTTAATTGCCTGGTTTTGCTTTTCTACTAATTTTATTAATTCATCAATTTTCTGCTGATCTGCTGGTTTATCCTTCAAACCATTTATCTCTTTTTCCCTATTTCTCATTAGCAAGTAAGTAATAATTATCACCAGAACCATAATAATTCCCCCTCCAATTAACCAAGGAGTTCAGTTGGTTTTTTTAGGGTCTTGTGATTGTTGTTTCTCTAATTCGGCTAATTCTTGCTTTTTATCCTTTAACTCCTGCTCTTGCTGGGATGTGCGATTAACAATAGCCTCTAATTTGGCAATTCGCTTCCTCAGTTCCTCAATTTTCTTGTCTCTCTCTCTCTCTCTCTCTCTCTGTCATCGTTCTTATCATTATTATTTACATCTGGAGAGCCTTCAAGATAATACAACTTTCTAGGATCCTTGCCTGCTCACATTTCTGAGTTTTCTAACCTTTTCATTTCCTCTTCGGTTTTGTGATTATTTTTATCACATTTCCCCTTATCTTTTCCATGAAAGTGGTAATAGTGGTCTAAATGATGTCCAGGGGAAAATTCCCTAGAACCAAGAAACTCAACCTCACACCAAGGGCAGATAGGATTTGGAAAACAATTACCAAATCTATCAGCAGATTTAGGGTCGTATTTCAAAACTTCCCCATCGTATTCTCCAAAAAGACAATCCTTATTAACTCCTCATTTTTCTCCACAAATCTTTTGAACTGCTTTTAGACAGTTAGAACATCAGACTTTGTTTTTATACTTACCGAAGTTATCCCTAATAAGATAATAAACATCTTTTTCCCCTATTTCTACTTCTTTTTGGCAATTGATACAATTTTCTTTTCACATGGTATATTTATAATTTTATAAAACACTTCTATAAAAACTTATATAATGTCTACAATCTTACTAAAATAATAAACATGACTTTGATTGTGATATTTTTCAGCATTTTGGGGCAAAAAGGTAATAGTATAATTTTGTCCTCTTTGCGTTAACTCATCATTAGGAAAGATGATGTTTTCTTTGTCAATAAGAATAATTTTGTTGCTATTTTCAGCGTCTACATCAGGCCACATATGATTTTCTCCTACTTTTCCAAAATAATAGACTTTAAATTGTAGTTGATTATTATCAGTAGGGGAGGGATTATCGTCGGGTTTCGTATTTTCTAATTTCTCCTTAATTTCTTTAATTTCCTTCTCTAATTGCCGGATAGTTGATTTATCCGGGTTAGCCAGTTCTTTTACCTTATTTTCTAGTGCCGTTATTTTGTCCTCTAATTGATTTTTCTGAGGCTCGTTGGTTAAATTTTTTAGTTGATTTTTGACTTCTTTTAGTTGCGATTTTAAGGCTTGGACTTCGGAATTATCGCTGGGTGTTTGGTTATTCTTGGAGTCCGACGATTGGCTTTGGGTAGTTATCCTTCCTAACCAAAAACTGCCGATAATCAGGACCACCACTCCGAGAATAATGCTAATGAATACTATTTTTTTTTTTTTTTTTTGCAACTGTCATATGACTATGTAATATGTATTATTGATTATATTTGCTACTTTGTTAATTAATGATAATTTGGTGCACTTAGGAGGAATCGAACCTCCGGCCTCTTGCTCCGCAAACAAGCGCTCTATCCACTGGGCTATAAGTGCTTCATAATTAAATTTTACGCTCTGCAACCTTCAGCATCTATCAGAAATAACTCTTTTTTCAGGCCAATCTAGACTGATAAAATTTTCAAAACTTTTCTTGTGTTTACCCTATTTTTATTATTCATTTTTGCTTTCTAATTCTTTCAATTTGATTTCTAATTGCCTTTTTTCTTGACGACCCTGCAATAATTTTTTTTCTAATTCTCGTAATTTTTCCTTATTAAACCATCCTTCAAATCATTTTTCTTCGTTAAAATGAGGGTTGAGTTTTTTGCGTAATTTCAGGTGCTCTCGTCAAAATATTTCTGCCGTCTGTTGAGATAAAGTATTAATGGTTCCAATCCGATAAACCGATTTTTCACCGAGCAATTTTCGCACATAATTATGGGCAACTTTTTGATATTCGCCGGAAAAATTAAGGTCAATATCAGGCGTTTTTTCTCCTTCTCAGCCAAAAAAAGTTTCAAATGGTAAATTTTGGCCCTCCATGGTTAGCAAGGAGAAACAAGTGGGACAATTTTCCTTTTCCTGATAATCATAGCACGAATAGACCCGGCTTTTGGCTTCATGAAGTTTAGCATAACGGCACTTTCAACAAAACTTATAAAAAGGCAGCGGGTTTAAATCGGTAATTTCGCATAAATAGGCAATTAAAGAGGAGCCGATTGAGCCACGGGACCCAACCAAAGACCCATCCTGATGAGTTTTCTGGACTACTTTATAGGCTAATCAATAAATAAAAACATAACGACCTTGAATAATTTGTCATTCACGGCTTATTCTCTCCTTAACAAAATCCGGTCAGAGCGGACCAAAAATTTCATTGGCTCGTTGAGTATAGGCTGTAATTAAATCATTTTCTTCCCGACCGCTACTGCCGGTGGCCGAGTAGTTAAGAGGAGGCTGCTTAATGTTAACCTCTCCGACTTGGCTTACTATTTCCTGTGGATACTTAAAAATAAGTTTTTCGATTAATTGCTTGTCTTGCAAAAAGAGCCAATTATCAATCATTTCTTCGAGAGTAAGTAAGTGCTGTGGGGGGAGATAAGCAAAGCGATCCTCTTTTTCATCCAAAGTTGCCTGGTTATAGAGATAATGGCGGGTGCCATTCATTCCTTCATTGGCAACAATAATTTCTTTTAATAATCTTTCTTTGCTTTGGCAATAGTAGACATGGTGGGAAGCGATAACAGGAATTTTTGCTTCTTCGGCTGCATTGATAATTTTTTTGGTCATTTCTTTTAATTCGGTTTCGCTGATTTGCCCGTTCAACCATAAATAACGAAAAGTTTGGGGGCTGTTAACTTCCACGTAATCATAAAAAAGCAGTTTTTTCCGTTTTTTGGCGGCAAAGTTAAAAGAACTAAACAAGGCAAATGTTTCTCCTTCGCGACCACCAGCAGCACCAACTAAAAGACCGGCACGATATTTTGCTAAATCCGAACGAAAAATAGAAGGTTTTTTGAATAACCTTTCGGTATGAGAAAGGGTTATTAGTCGGTAGAGATTATGTAATCCTTCCTGGCTAGTTGCTAAAATTTTCACTTTGAAGCCCCGGTTAGGAAAAAAAACATCCTTAATTAATTCTTTGACTTGTCCCCACTGGCTAATTTTATTTTCTTTGAGAGTTTTTAGCAATTTTTCCAATAATTCTGCTAATAATTTACTATCATCAAGAGCCCGATGGGTTTGGACTACTTTGGCTCTACCAGGCACATGGCTTAATTTTGCCAGGCTATACGATTTTCGGTCCGGAAATAATATTCAAGAGAGGGGCAGAGTATCCAACACTGGATAAGGTAATTCGGTCCCCAAATGTTCTTTTCAGACTTTATTGAGAAAGCCATAGTCGAACTTTCCGGCGTTGTGGGCTACCAAAATGCAACCTTCTCATTCGCGGCTCAGAGTTGGCAAAATTTCTTGGATGAGAGGAGCCTTTTTTAATTCTTGGGGGTCAATGCTCGTATATCAGGCCGCTAAAACTTCGGCTGGAATTTCTTTTTGGGGGCGGATTAAATATTCTTTTTCTCGAATAATTTCTCCTTGATGATAAATAACATAACCTAACTCAATAATTTCATTGTATTGCGAAAAAAAGCCTGTGGTTTCCAAATCGAAAACACAATAAGTCAAATTATCTATTTTTTGGTCTAAAATCGTTGCTGAATGATTAAAAAAATAAGGTGGTAGTTCGTCCTCTAACATTTCCATTTCACAACCATAAATAATTTTCAAATCTGGGCTTTGGTGCTGGCTGAACTCCGGAAAGGCTTGGACGTTATAATGGTCGGTTACTGCCAAAGCCGAATAATTTTTCTGTCGGGCACTGGCAGCGTAATCTGCCGGGCTGCTTATTCCATCCAAAGTGCTAAATTTAGTATGAACTCCTAATTCTCACAATTTTCTTTCTTTTCATTCTTGTAATAAAGAGAATTTATTTATTTTTTTATTCTGAATCACTGCTGAACCATTGGCTAAGTTAAAATTATTTTTTTTCTCCCTTTTGTTTATCTCATTATTATTTACGTGGTTTCCACAATCATTATTTTTAACCGTATTTTTTTTCTTTTGTTGAGAAGCAAAACGCAGGTCGGGAAAGCCTAATTTTTTCAACATTTCTTTTAAGACCACTAATTTTGGTTTCCATTCAGCAAGCATTTTTGGGTCCGAAAAAGGCAAATAAACCACATTTTGTCGTCAGGCAAAGTTTGTCAAAAGTTCTTTTTGCTCCCAAAAGAAGATTAAATTTTTTTTTTCTTTTCAGAGGAAAGGGGCATCACAGAGAAAAGAAAAATATTCCTTAAAGTCAGTTTTGTCAACAACTGCTTTCTCCTGAGTCACCACCTGATAGTCCAGATAACCAAAGAGATAATTCAATTTATCATATATCACATATAATAATTGGCTAATTTTTGTGGCGGGAAGTAATTGGGGAGCAACAATCTCTAAGCGTCCGGACACCGAGAGGCTAATTTCTAAACCTTGTCAGTCATTGGTAGAGAATTCTTTTTCTATTTCGAGTTCTTTGAAAAATTTAAGGGACATTAGAGAAAAATTAGTGGCTGTGATATAAAATTTTTTACAATTTTGGATTATTAATAATTTCTCGATTTTGCCGCCAGATATGTTGATTAGAAAGCAGTTTTTTCCACGTCAAAAAAGAAGAAAAAGTAATTTGAATAAATCAAACTTAGTATTATTGTCATCTTTTTAATGATTACAAAATAAATTAATCGCCATTCCTCAACAAATACTCCTTATCTACTTCGTCCAAAAAAGGGGAGTATAATTCTTGACTACTAATTAAATAGAGTAATTTTTTCGCTCGGGTTATCCCCACGTAAAATAATCTTTTTTCCTCCGTGAGGTCTTGGGTTTCTTTGTAAGGTAGGGTTCCCTGGTCCAAATAAACAAAAAAAACTACTTCAAATTCTAAGCCTTTCGCTTGGTGGACCGAAGAAAGAACCAAATTATTTCTGGTTTTAATCAATTTTTTGTCCTCAAACGCAATAATAATTCATTGCAAAAAAGAATTAAGTAATTCTCCTAAATTGGGATATTCTTTTTTACGCTTATTTTCTCAATTTTGAGCGATATTGAGAAATTGTTGGACATTTTTTTCTCGTTCGGTTGCATTAATGCGGGTCTTCAAATGCTTTCAATAATCAAAATCGTTAAGCACTCCTAATAAAAAGGTGGCGAGTGGGGATTTTTGCTCTAATTGCTGAGAAAGTTCTAATCTCAATTTTTCTTTTCATTTATTAATTTTCAGAATAATAGCCCCAATTTTTTCTACTTGTCCTGCCATCATTTTTTCCTGGCTTAAATTGTTGATAGTAGCAAAATTATTCAGATATTCATAGATACTTATCTTTTCTTTTTCGCTGTTTTGTTCGATTTTTTCAATGGTGCGAGCCCCAATTTTTTCTTGTAATCCTAATATCCTCAACAAAGAAATATTATCCTGATAAACAATGGTTCGTAAAAAGGATAAAACATCCTTAATTTCCTCCCGTTCAATAAATTTGAAAGAACCTAATATTTCATAAGGTACTCGCTGAGCCACTAATTCTTGTTCCAAGCGAGTAGAAAGATAATTGTTGCGATAGAGGATAGCAATATCGCTAAATGTCAATTTCTCTCGGATTAGCAGCCAACGAATATGACGAACAATAGAGCGGACAGAAAGACGAGTCGAGAAATTTACTTTCACTCCTTCTGGGTTACAAGTGTTAAGTAAATTACTAACCAAAATAGACTGGTTCTTTTTGATAAAAGAATTAGACAGGCGAATTATGTTGCTAGTGGAACGATAATTAGTGCTGAGATAAATAGTTTTTCATTCCTTATTTTTGGTGAAAGAGGAAATTAATTCGGGGGTGGCCCCTTGAAAACCATAAATGGCCTGGTTCGGGTCGCCCACTAGAAAAACATTTTGCTTCTCACTCAAAATTAGTTTGATTACTTCTCATTGAACCGAGTTAATGTCTTGAAATTCGTCCAATAAAATATGAGTAAATTGGGCCTGATATTCTTGCCGAACCGAAGGGCGATAAGTAAAAAGATCAATGGTGTAAAGCAGCAAATCATTAAAATCCAGGGCTTGGTTGGTTTTTAAATATTCCTCATATTTTTGGTATATTTCATACCGGGTTTTGGTTGATTCGTCAAATTGTAGTGGGTCGGTATCCAGTTTACCATTTTTTCAACCACTAATATAAGCGAGAATGGTGTTTATTTCTTTTTTTTCCGCACTATAATTATTCTGATAGAGTATTTTACGAATTATGGTTTCTTGCTCGTGACGATCATAAACCGGAAATTTACTTTCGGGGAAACCTAACAGATACGAATGTTTATTAAGAACATGAAAACAAAAAGAATGAAAATTATAGATATGTAAATCTTTGGGGGAAACGGTGGTAACATAAGAAAAAACCCGTTTTTTTATTTCTTTAATGGCTTTTTTAGCAAAAGTTAAAACCAGGATATTTTGGGGCTGGGCTTTTTGACTTGCTAATAAGTAAATTAGTCTGCTGACCAGAGTTTTAGTTTTGCCACAACCAGGCCCGGCAATAACGCATATTCGGGAATGTTCTTCATAAACGGCTTGTTTTTGTTGTTCGTTTAGTTCTTGAAGAAAGTCCATTTTAAAAGTAAATAATAATACATATTTTAGGCCTATTTCTAATTACACTTAATTAACAAGAATGAAAATTTGAGAAAAAAACAAAATTGCTTAATAATCAATCTCCTCAATTTTTTTCAGTCTCAAAAAATTGCTTTTTAATTTCTGAAAATTAGTTAAAAAATCTACTTCTTGAAAATCTTGGAAAATCTTGAAATCGGAAAATTTTTCTCTTATCTTGGTTAATTCAACTCGCTGGATAACTTGATTGGCTAGCAAACACTTTTTATTTTGATAAACTGCAATATGGTATTTATTTCCACGGCTGTCAATGGTTAACATGCTGAGGCAATTTTCGGTTCCTGCTTGTAATAACAACGTATCTATATGATAAACTTTAACTTGGGGGTTAAGAACTTGAAAAGTAGCGAGAAATGTCAAAGACACCCTTAATCCAGTTTGTCCGCTGGGAGTAGAAGTAAAATAAATCTCGTTTATCTCTTTTAAATTATGGCCGGTTTGGGTTAAAAGTTGTCGCAAATAGGAGAGAAAGTTTTCTGAATGGAGTCGTCGGTTTTCTTTTTGAATGCTTGTCAAACATTTATCATTTTCTCACAAGGCCAGAAAAAGAAAAGGAGAGGACAAACTAAATTGGAGAAGCATTAAAATATTTTGTAACAGGAATTATATTTTTCGCTTACTATCCTTCTTACCAGGTCAAAAAATTAGCAGCAAAAAAGTAATGATTAGCAAAACTGCTCCGGCCAAAATTCAACCAAAATATTTATCTAAAAAAAATTTTTTCGGTTGAACAGTATCCACATTAACGCATTCTAAACGGGAAACCAAAGGGAGGGAAAGTTGCCCCATGTCTCGGGTAGAACTAGTGGCAATTAAAATATAATTCGATAAATCAATCGCCTCTCCAAATAGATTAGTATTTTGTTGGTGGTCGAAAATTGGTAATAAGGCATGTTCTAATTCCTGGCTCGTTATTTTTTCAATATTTTTAAATCAAATGATAGGAAAATTGTGAACGGCTATTGCTTGTTGGTTCTTGCTATCCTGGTAGATTTCTTTAATTTTAGTTTCTATTCAGTCACCTTTTTCTTGGCCCACTTGGGCGAAGTCAATAATATTTTTTTCCGGTATTTCCTGCTGGGCTAATTCTTGGTTATATTCCTCGCCAGCAAAAAACAGAACCCACGAAAAATTTTTACTAATTCCTTCTTGTTGGGCCTTTTGTTTAACTTTTTTTTCTTTATTTAGAGTTTTTATTAACAACGTTTCATTATTCATATTAATTTTTTTTGCTTATTCTTTTTAATTTCTTTTTTCTCCTTTGGACTACCAAGGCTAAGCCAGCCGTGGCAATAATTAATCCCACTGCCGCCAGAGACACTACCATTCAAATAATTTTGTGAGACTTTTCTTCTCTTAATTGTTCTTTTAAACGATTCATTTCTTCTTCACGGGTCTTAAATTGTGAGTGACATTTTTCGGAACAAAAATCTAAATCGTTTTCTCTATCACTAAATCAAGCCAATTTTCTATCTCCTATATATTTGTGGCATTGGTCGCAGAATGTAACAAAATGTTGACCTTGATCGGGTTGGCTAACCACTGGTCAATTCAAATCGAAGCCTTGATAATTTTTTACTTCGCCCGTTTCTCAAATCTCTTTTAATATTTTTTCAACCTTTTGCTTATAAGGTTTTCAATCCTCATCCTTCAAGCCAAGGGGAGCCAGGTTCAAGGCTAAATCAACTCCGTCTTTTTGATAGACTTCTACGGAACTTATTTTTTCGTCTGGTATCACTCCCCCTTCCACCTCGATAACTTTGTGCCTTAAAGCCGAAAGAAAAAAATAATCCTCATATTTACCACGCTTACTTTGGGAATTGCGAAATTTTTTGAACTCCTCCACTACTTCTCCCAGATTTTCACAAGTTATCCATTTAAATCCGTTTTTGTTCTTGGTTTTCACCATAAGTAATATTAATTAATTTTTGCTTATTTTTCTTTTTCTTTGTCTGTTTTTGGTTTTGCCGGACAAAATATTATTATTTATTTTTACTTCCGACAAAATATCAGGTTTATTTTTAACCTTATCAGATAAAATATCCTTGTTTGTTTTTGGGCTACTGCAAACTATTTTATCTATTTTTCTCAATATAATTTTCTTAATAATTACTGCTAACAAGAGAATCCAGATAATTCCTCCCAATAAAAAGAGAAAATAATGTTTTAATTGAGGACTAAAACTTTCTTGATAAGCAAGCACATTTTTTTTTAATCATTCTTTCGGGTCGCCCAAAGAAAACTCCCGCCCATTTTCTCGGGCGTCAATATATTCCTTTTTTATTTTAAATAACACTCTTTCAGTCTGTCTTATTCCTTTTTCATTGATGTATTTAGGCAGTATTTTGATAATTTCTTCGGGGATAATTTCGTTTTTTTCATCCGGATAAATCTTTTTAATTTCACCTTCTATCTCTTTTTTTTTCAATTCCAATATTTTTTCTTTGTCTTCATCGCTGTAATCCTCTAGTTTTCGCATTTCTACTTCTTTTTTTAAGGCTGGAACTAATTGGTCCGAATAATTAACAGTAGCAAAAAAAGTAATGTAATCTAATTCAATATCCATCTGGTAATATTTATCAAATAATTTTTTACTTTTTCCTTTGCCTTCACTCTTATACATTTTAAACAATTCAATTAAATCTCTTTGCACTTGCTCGTCACTAATTTTTTCCAATTCGTCCAGGGGGATAATCGGGTTTTTGCAACCACTTTTTAGCATTACTCAGGCCACTAAACTTGGTTTGTTTTCATCGCCCAAAATGGAGTAATCTTTAAATTCTTTCAGTCCCGCACACGAAATAATTTGTAATTCTCCCCGTCCCATGGCTCGATTAAGCGTCTTAATAAAAGTAGTTTTTCCGATGCCTGGTTTTCCGTCATAGCAAAAAATTTCTTTCTCTGATTTATATTTACCATCTTCTACTGCCGCATACAAATAAACATCGCTGGCAAACTTGGC